TCAAAAAAGGTGAAAACTAGTGTGCTTTCACAACACTTCAGCTATGCTTTTTGACAGTTGCTGTGCCCCTTTTCGCACCCAAATCCCAAATGTGTTCATTTACGACATCAGATATGTATATATACACATATTTAATAGCACAACAGGTATCCTTTTGAGTTCCAGCCTCCCGGAGCTCTGCTCAAGTCCAGGAGTACTTCCAGGAGTAATCCCCGGTTCTAAGGGCATATTGGTGCCGCCGTAGGTGAAGTTTCAAGGCAAATCCATCTGAAGCAAACGAAAACCAAAAGCTCCGGTCCACCACCAAATTGGATACACAACTTCCAAAACAACACTTGTTTATTGCCGGATATTCTGGTTGGCAGCGTGATTTGGTTTCGTATCTTTCATCCACCATCCGGGTCATCGTGCCTTGGCCGCTGAGGCGGCGTTAGGGTCAGGCAGGTTCTTGCTGTTCCTTCAGCGACGGCTGGGCCAGGCTGGGGCCACTGGTGGTCCATAATGACTGAAGCTACTGGGCTAGTGGCTCAAAGGGTTGAACATGCTTTTCAACATCAAGAACATCTTTTGAGCCGACCATCATCGTTACCTTTGTTCGTCAGGGCACATGATGTGTGAAAACCAGCTATAATTTTTGAATGTTTGACGAATCATCGGGTTCAGCACATGAAACCCAAAAAAGAACATACAGCAATGTAACAGCAACCATCCCCTTGTCCCATGTGTATTTCTCCCATGAACCTGTGGGTGATTTCCCCTCAACAACAGCTGCAAGAAAAGAAGGTCGTTTTCGCCTCTAAAGACTGAGAGGAGATCAACGAATGTAGACTCTTTTTGGGGACAGCACAGCACCCCAGACCAGGCGGTTGGGCTCTTCTTCGTGATCCAAAAGGACGAGCGCCAACTGACGGTGACCAGGCGCTCTTTCTTTGTCCATCCGTTTTCAGCACAGTTTTTGAGTGTTCATCGAGCACACACCCGAGTGGAGACCAGGCGCCCTGTGAAACCGCCAAAAGGACGACTTCTGAGGTGCCCGGTGAATGGCCAAACGGCCGGGAGAACGTCCGAAGACGAAGACGAAGACATTTGCTTCACACGTTCAATGTCACACAAAAGAAACACATCTATGGAAACCAAGCTGCTGGACACAATCGAAAAGGGTCTGATTGAAGACCTGGTGCAGGAACACAGTCAGAGGACTGACGACTCACGGTTTCAAGTTGGTGCTCATCAGTAATCTTGAAACAAACTAAATTGAATTCCAAGGGTGATCAAACACAAGATTCCTGGAACTCATAGTTTATACATTCTGTCTTGGACATATGTGCTTCATGTCCACCTTCCAACTCAGATTTCCTAGAGGAAGAATTTCTATGAGTCACAACATCTGAGTCTTGGGTGTCTTGGTTCTTCTATGTGTTGGTTGAGGACCCTCTGGGTCAAAAAGAACTCTCTCTCTCTCTCCCTATAGATGTTGAGGATTCGAACGTTCTGTTTCTTCAAAGGTGCAAAAATCAGATCCCAAAGGGGATTGGACAAACAGCAAAAGAACCACTCACAAGAGGTACATGTAAGTTCCTCAACAGCAACAAACAATTATAGACGGGAGGGGCATGGAGGCGCATAAATATCTCAAAACAACCCAAGGGTATACTGCACCTGCGCGGGCCCATTATAGGATCTTGTAGGGCTTCGAATTTGCGAGCTCTCTTAACTTGGGGAAAGCTCAATCTGAAGGGTCTAATTCTCAAGTTGCACAGAACATCGTCGTCGACTCCGAGGAACCAAGCGACTGACTGGACTGACACTTGTAAGAAGAGTGGACCACGAGCACAACGGTCCGTCGCAGTCCCATCATATACGCTTCTACTCTTGTGAAGTCAATCATTCAAGGCTCAAGGGGCTCACCTCGATCCACCTTGCATCTTCATGAGTTCATGGAAGAATCATCTAGTACTCAGCAACACGCAATGAATAAAACCACTCCAAAGCAGGAGATTTGGTTCAGACATGTTCAGAATCATTCTTTTCCCTCATTTCTTTTGACCCTTCACAAGAACCTCGTGGAGCAAGTAAAAAGTCACAGGAAACCCGTGATGCGGTCAAGCCGCTGTGTCGTAGTTGGCATTCCCGGTGTTCAGGGCAACTCCATCTGGGCGGATGCAGAGAGACATGCTGAGATCGTCGGTGCTGGGCAGCAGCAAACGACTGGGGTTCCAGATTCCAGCGTGAGTGCCCAAACAGAAACTGAATGACACTGCGTTCTTTCTCACCAACATGTAGGAATGACGATTCCAAATTGTTCATGGTCTTTTTTGGGAGGACAATAGTAGTGGAGCCTATTCCTATTCACCCTTGTTGTGCTCTATTCAACACTGTTTGGGGTCTCTTGCCGGGACAATGGGATTTTGGCCATGTGTTTTCTTTTTGATGGAAAGGTGTGCAACACTAGCGCACCCAAAATGAAGAAAACACCAACGCCTGCTGGCACCTGCTGGGCCCTCCTTTTCTCCAAGGCACTGAAGCCTGCCAGGGACACGGAGTTGCCGAGATCCGCCGACCTCGGGAGGGAACAAGCCACGGAGAACTCCGTGGCGTGTTCCGGGTGGCGTGTTCCGGGGTGTGCGAAGGGTCAGACTCGGGGTGTGCTGCAACAAATGAGTTGCGGGTCCCCCCAAACAATACAGTGCGATGATGATGCCATTAAATGCCATTTGTTATATAGATGCCATATGCCAAACTGTAACTCGTCCTATATATATATATATTTATTGCCGTGAGGATTTGGGTATACAACATATATCACGTACAACATCATATAACTATGACCAAAGAGTTTTTAATCTCTTCTTTCACACCGTGAAAGACCTGTCACAGGGACTCTGTTGTGGCCAAGTGCGTGGCCGGGCTCTTTCGGGGATCACCTTGTTTCCGGTTCCAAGACGTCCACACGAAGGAGGGGCCCTTTTTTGAGGAAAGCCTCAGCATATCGAAGTCAGTGGAATGTGTACACCGCCTGCAAGTTGACGACCAAGAGCCGTTTTTGGGGTCATGTTGGATCTTAGCTCCACAGTGTAGCTCAAGTATGGGGCCATGCACTGCCATGCACTGCATCGACCCAGGCCTGGGTCACAGCTAAATTTGTTGTGTTCGAACAAATGCAAATCCACACACGATTGTGAGCAATCCCCAAACTGGGAAACCAATTCACGGCGACAAGGTTCCGCTCTCAACCGGTCTGGGCCATGATACATGGGGAGCACCATGGGACATTAAAGCCATCTAGAGCCCTATCTCACAGGGTGCAGCTGCAGGAGGTGTTCAGTCAGCAGTATCACCAAATGAGATCCATCCAAAATCCTTGGAACACCCTGGAACCAGAAAATTGATGTGGGGATTCATTTAGCATGCTTTCCCTGCAGGTCCTATTGACTGAATCATTTGATTGGGCGGTGGATTCTTGGTACAACATGTTGTTTTCAAAAAACATTCCAATCAGGTGTGTGGTCCCAAACGTTAGAGTATCGGAGCATCGACGTACCGCGGCCGGTGGTCTCCTTCTGCCGCGGCCTGATCAAGGGCGTTAGTTTCACAAAGCACACGGTGCCCACAGTCAGTGCCACGCCTGTCGAGGAACTCGGAGACGATGTCTTAGAGGGTAGGACTCCAAAGAGCAGTACGACAGCAGAAGGAAAAGGTGAAGAAACTCTTTTTTGTTCCTCGAGAAAAAAATAATGAAACTAACTATGACAGGAAGTCTGAAAAAACATCGAGGAAACTCTTGGCTTGAGAGCTCCCTTCATTTTAAGAGATACAGTACCCACACCAGAAACATGTTGGCTTGGCCAATGGCCTGGCCCAATGCCGCATGAACGTCAAACAATTTATAGATTCTGGCCATGTTCATCATTTTCTGCACTGTTTTTTGGGGGAAGAAGCTTGCAGCTTTGCTCCACACAATTACTTACTGGTAGGTGAGTGGGATAAGCTTTGAAGAAACATCCAATAGTGGTCAGCGCGGCAAACAAGTGCACTGCTGTATTCTGTTGTTGGATTCACATGGATCCACATCCATTTGACAAAATTGATAGTATCAGTGCATAGACTCAACCTCCCCAACCGCAGCCAGCTCATTCTTTCTTCTGCGCTGTTGACATGGTACTGGGGCACGCCATCAGGTGTGGCAGCCACTACCTGGCAGCAGAAAAGCCAGCTTTGCAAGATGTGAAGCACATGCAGATTGCTCTGTACTTCCGATGACATCCCAGAATCCCAGGGTGCCTCTATCCTCTCGACGTTGGTGTTTATGAGTTGTCTTAAGCCTATACATATATATATATACACACCCCATTTCATCCTGTCTTTTTGTATGGTGAGCACATATATGCGAATACGTCGCGCCTGTCAAGCAACCTTTCACGTCGGCCGCTCAAACTGGGAAATTTGGTATTCGGCGTTCCAGTAGTACTGCCTTGGTCGTGGCTTGCCATGGTGGGCGCCCCCTCCCTTCCTCCCGATGTGGAATCTTTTCGATGGACTCTGGCAAGCGTCATGCTCCTTTTTCCCATGTTCTGTTAGTCAGTTCATGTTCCTGTTGGGGAAGCCTTATATAACCCTCCAAAAACTAAAACCCAACCTTGCCTTGCAGATCCTTGCAGCTCAAGTGGGTCTTTGTTCGAAAGGTGGCCGTTGGCTCCATCCTTCCTCATGGCTCTCTCCCCTGGCTACAATGACCTGGAACCCTCTTGCTCCTTCCAAATGTTATTTCAGCTCTGAACCCACTTGTCCCCAGCAGTTCATTTACGCAACTGAATCGAGTATTGAACCTGCTGTACATGTATAAATATATATTATATATATATATCTTAAGTTATCTCAATATTGGCTGTTTATGAATAAACATCCCGAGGACCAGAGATGTACAAGCATTCCTGGTAGGTGAGCTGTAGACATCAACCCTCAGCATTAGGACCTTCAATAGAACCTTCCCCGTGCTCGCGCTTGCTTTCTCCGTGGACGTCGCCGTCTGGGCGTCGAGACCCTGGGGTCTTGAGACACCGATTTCTTCGGGGAGCGAAAGCGACACTGTGGCGTTCGTGTCAGCGGCAACTGTTGTCCCCTGAAACCAGGTCAATGCCGCAGCAGAACAGTGAGATGGTCACCCCAGTGGCGCGCATGCATTGGAAGCCTGCAAAGTTGCCCTTGACGCCAAAGGGGCAACGCTCTGTGACCCAACTGACTTTGCCCCAACCACAGGCCACCGCGCCGACGTAGACTCCCACCAGGACCGAATCCTGCGTGATGGTGAAGGCACCGCTCACAGAGAGGCCACCCCAAAACCACTTGTAGATGTTCCCGAATCCTTGGGGCGCCAAGGACCATCGGCCCCACCGTGCTCCGACCGTGCTCTGGGGGGATGGTTTCGCTTTCAGTCGAAGGATCTCCATGTCGTGCAACGATTGAAGCTGTGGGATCTTTCTAAAGCCACAGCCTCTTACAGATTACATCTTCAAACCATTGATAGAAGTCCCACGACCTGAGGGGACCTAGGCTACAAGTTGCACCTGCAAGACGAACCGGTCGAGTTCTCAACTTGTTTCCATCCAAGCAGCCAAGGCTGACATAGAAACTATAGTAACCAGCCGTCCATTGTGGGGCCTGTCCTGCAGTGTTTTTTTGACAATCATGGCTCTTTAGCTGACGGTCTTTGGCAATTCACTGCGCGTGTTCGCCCTTGATCAGAATCAGATGAGAGGTCTAGGTTTGGAATCACTAAAATCTGTTAAAGTGAATCGGGTACAAGGCTGGAAACAGTGCTATCCCCATGCTAGTGTGAAGGAACACATTGACGGAACAACCCGCAACCCAAATCCATAGTTTCCGGCCAAACCCACTCATTGATTACGTCTTGCTGCTAGTTGACTCTGATATGCAAGATTGATGGAAGATTGATGGAACAAACCCTGCCCACCGGCAACGGGGAAACCATAGGTACCTAAGTTAATGTACGAGTATCTACAATATTCTACAATGTTTTCGGTCTCTATGGGTGGGAAAACGGCAGTTCACGTGGAAACCGTGTCCTTTAAGAATATCATTGAGGGCATTGTTGCTGGCACCAAAGCCTTGCCCGAAGCTAAATCCCACGTAGCTTCCCAGTGTGCGGCTGTAACCCTCCGCATTCCAAATGGAGGCTTTGCCCAGGCATCCAAAGATCTTTTTCGCCATCATCCGCCTCTTCTCCCTCTTCTCCTGATTGAGGCAAGTGACTCAAATGTTCGAGCGACTCTACCAAAACAAGTCTAACAATTCTCACAACAAACAAACAAACAAAAAACAATCAAACAAAACAAATACGAAAACAAAACTTCTTCAGTCCCATAGAGTGCCACCTGAGGATGAGTCGGTCTGAGTTTCTAAAATGCCCAAAGTCCCAACGAATAGTCTTTGGAACTCAAGTACATCCTCAGGCTGGTCGCACCTCTAAAGTCTCCACTGTCCAGGCAAGATGCCTTGCGTCTTGCTCTCCGCTCCTGACGTTTTTGCTTTCGTCGGCCCTTTCCGGAGCGGGCACTGTCATCGGCGTGGGCAGCTTGCTGCTCCTCTTGGAGAAAAGCCGCGTACTGCTCCTCAGTTTGCAAGAGGTTGCGCCAATCTGGTGGGAACCCCCAACCAGCTGATGTATTGGTGGGCTGCCAAGTAGGTTTCTTTTTCTCTCTTGCACATTGTCATCGTCATTAGATCCTGGGAGGGTTCAAAGTATTATAGGTCGCTGTTTCAATTGATGTGACGAGTACTGCAGGTTTGCGGAACCCAAGACAGGATTTCTGGTTTCCGATCCCTTTGCGAAACCTCCCACCTTTACCCTCTCGTACGCCGTGGCACCCGGTCGAACAAGCGGAGGCCTTCTTCGTCTTCAGAGAACTCGAAGGATTGCGAAAGCGACAGGAGGGACTTGCGGCCGCTCTGGGCATAGCCATGGAATGCTTCGGCCGAAGCTCCTGGAGCAGTTAAGCCCGCATCTGACATGAGGTGAACGAAACAGGGCCTTTGTTCCAAGCAATCTCCGACGAAGTGGTGTATAGGAGTGTAGGGTGATCTGTACCGATTTGTGATGTGGTGAAGTGTAGTGTTCTGCTTCGCGGTGTCCTGTACTGATGTGTACTGTGGAAATTTGGCAAATCTGGGCTCTGGTGTGGCGGCTTACAATAGTTTGTTCAAGCGCAATGCGATACTTTGCTCTCTAGAAATCTGCATACTGTTGTAAACATTTCTCTAGAAAATTCATGAAAATTCTACCTCTGCACTCAACCGTTTTGCACTTTTCTCTAGAAACCTAATTTATACTTCCCTGGGTACTGCTCTCCACAAACCTGTATTTCTACTTGTACATAATGTGTAATGACTTGCCAAGCTATACTTGCCTCTAGCATCCTCCAGCTATCTCTATCCTCTCTAGAAACCTCCAGTGGTCTTACTTCTCTCTCGAAATCTCAAACTCACACACCCACCCACCAATCGAAGGATGGCTAATTGAAGCGCCCCGCAAAAAGAGGAGGTTCTTGCACACTGCCAAAGTTGAAGTGTTGCAAACTGTTTCAAACGAACGCGTCCTTGGATACCTTCTGCACGAAGGAACTCGAAGCCACCCTCGGCTCCGTGCTTCGCGACGAAGTGCTGGATCTTGTGCTGCAACCAAATTCGTTGCCTGCATTTGGGAGGACCTTCTCCAAAAATCGAAGTTTCTTACTTTCTCTCCCAATCTTTTAACCCTGATTATTATTGCATGGGGCACAAGAAACCTTTGCTTTGGGCTCAGCTCTGCGCCGTCCTGATTTCAACGCCAACTTGACTGGCACTCGCGGTCTGCATGAGCTTCAAAGTTTGCTTGTGGGACATCGTTAGGATGTCGTTGTAGTTCGTGTGGTCACACTTCAACCTGAACAAAAGACGGCTTTTCGAGACCCCCGGGCCCCACAAACAAATACTTGGTCACTTGGTATCCAGATCCAAATCACTTGGTTCTCCCCAAGTGCAAAAGAAGATAAACGTCTATCTACAACCCCCCGTGATTTGAGTGGTCTAAAATAAGTGGAGTCAGTGGTCCCAAAGATCACCCTTCGCCTCGGTGTCGGGTCACACCGACTCTTTGGTCACCGGTCCGTATCCGACATGTGGAAGAGCCGCGTCGGAAGCGTCTTCTTTTGTTAAACACCGGCATTGGCGTTGACAGACCAACTGCATTGACAGAGCAACTCCTATTTGGCCATGGAACTCCTGGCAAAGCGGCTGCCAAAGCTCTTCCAGCCGTTGAAGCGTCACGGTCATGGAGCTGTTGTGAGTATGGGAGTCCAAGATCTGGTGTGTACCTGATATACATGTACATGACATGGATTGACATGGTATGGGTGTCTGACACCCTGGATTGACAAGGTCAAAGTTGTATGTTCTTTCAATACCCGCATCGCATGGGTCATCAACCGTAGTAACTAGTGCATTCGTAAAGCACCGACCAGCTGAGGATCATCCTACTACATGTTTGCACTTCCTGGCACTTCCAGGTTGCAACGAGCTGGTTAGGGGATGACACACTTCTTGCAGAAGCCAAACACGCGTTTTTGACAGTCACCTGTGAACAGGATGAAGACCCATCGATGGCTGCAGAAGATAGACACCCCAGAAGCCTGAACTCCTTGACCGAGAGCTCAGCAAACGAACAACATCCCCATCACTGAGGGTCTCACTCCACCTATTCCAGTCAAGTTTTGAGTAGGCCCCCAGCCAAACTGGAACCTTGGATCTATCACCAAAACATTGTTTGTTCACGAATTGCAGCCTCTCAGGCGATTCACCGCTGAACATTCACATGGTCCGAACAAGAGGGTGAGCGAGCCTCGCGTGGCACGTGCCAAAGCCATGGAAGTAGCAGATTCATCATGGAGCTGCAAGAAAACCCCTCGGCGAGCACCGAACACATCGCAGCTGAGGTTGTCAGTAAAACGAACAGTTTACAATACTTTGACTAACTGCATCGTTCTGGCAAAACGGACACGCGAAGATTACTTCCTGCATGGGGGGGCTTTATACTTTCTTAGCTGGTCTGGTATGTCCCAGCTGGAAAGGGACATGCCGAAGATCTCAACCGCGTTCTGTCTACATAATACATGGGCGAGGTGGCTCTAGCAAACAAGAACTAGTCATAGATCTGGAAACACATCCAAACCGCGCAGCTGGTGATGAGTTTACTCCCTCCAACCCAGACTCAACATATGAGTGTGGATCAAGAACTGCCCAAAAGCATGGTAGGTTGACATCTTTGAGAACATCCATGTTGTTCATTTGCCGGGCTCAAGCAGGGCCGCAGGTTTGTCCCACTCATTTTCCATGTATGTCCCTGTTTGATCTTTGTGTGACTTGCCCCCTACCTGGATCACCAACAGCAGTGCGGTACTTTGGTACTTTGTACTCTTGACAGTCCCTACTGCATTTGCAATTGCGTTGTCTTTTCAAGCGCTTTTCATGAAAATCACCCACCTATCACTATCGCCGGAAACTGTTCCCTCAGAACCCTGCTCCCCTTTAACTCTATTCAATAATTTCCCCATAAACACACATCCTGTTGGGAAATAGTCGTCTTTCCAAACTCATCGCTTGCGTTGTTTTTGTCGCGGCATCGGGGGTGTGCATGAATTCGCAAGATTCCCCCAGCTTGGCTTCGATCAAACAAATTGGCTTGGCCTTACATTGCGCCCTTTTGAAACTTGATGGATATTTGTTATATTATTATTATTGTTGTTAATCTTGCACGCTATACAGTCGATATATATATATATTATGGATCACCAAAGGCTTTAGCAAAGGGAAAGGTAAACCGTTCGATGTGACAGGTTTCAACTTTTGGTGGGCATCCAATAGCTAGATGATATTGTTTCATTTATGCAGTTTTATGCACATGGGTCTATATGTAGTATGTCCAGACGGGATTACTTAAGACAGTGAAAGGAAATGCCTCATTGTGTCATGTCTATTTTTATCTGTGTTACCGGCTCCGTAACTCTGCACACGATCCGTAACTCTGAGGGTTGGGTGCGCAAGCTCGTGCTCAAAGGACGGACTCAAAGCGATTCGCGCCAACGCGGGGGCCATCAGTACAAGGCATTTTGCAACTCCACACATCTCCAATCTTGGGCAATCATCCATATGGGCATAGCACCGGCACGCACACCAATTTTTACTGGGAAAAACACAAGTCGGTGACGTCTGAACATGCTTCAGAAACCTCACTACTATCTTAATACAACAAATTTGAAACACACAAAGATCATACTGTTGCTAACGAAGTTACCGAGTTGAAGATCAGAACCCTTTTGTGTATACATTTACATCCCTTTACCAGGGCTTGCTTCTCCTCCACAGACCCCATCCACTGTGTTCTTTGGGTCTTCCACAGCAATTTCACAGACCCCTCCACTATGCCTGGTTTAGAATTCATTCACACACTTCCAATATCTTGCAATCGCCTAAAACCATCACGCCGGCGCCCGGCTGCCCCGAAACACCTTTTACCCAAAAACACTCCCCAGACTGCTCTCAACAGTGCTTCCGCCATGATTCCACCCGGTGCTGAAACATCCTCCTCGCTGATCTCTTCTGTGGCCACGCAATTGTAGAGCGGTGGGAGTCGCTGGTCCTGGTCTACCGAAGTGATGTTCACAGGGCGCTGCACTCCAACATGTCCAACTGTTCGTATTATTATTGACATTTATTCACGGGTAGTCACCAATACAGCCAATACAATTAAAAAACATCTTAGTACGAAGCTGCCAATGACATGTTCAGAGGAAGCCTACCATCCAAAGCCCTGTTGCGTCCTTCTTGATCAAGTCTAGAGTGCCTTCCTCGTTCATGAGAGCTCCTTTCCTGGCAAATGGGAGAACTTTGGATATCCAAAGCTCCAAGCCCGACAGGTTCTCAACTTGAGATGATTGAGTCCACAGAGCCCAAACATTTGAGGAGGACCCCCCCCAGCATCGCCTTCCTCTGGCAAAGGAACACAAACACGTTGCTTTACAGGGAGGGGTTGAGAGGGTCATCAATGATCGTAAGAAGTAAGAGCGTTTCTATTGTATATATATAATATAGATAATTAATTTGTTGCTATGCCGTCGCATCTTGATCTGTAGGTTGATACAGTATCAGCCCAGCAAGGACTCCATATTACTACATAAAATACCCCTTAAGACTTAAGAGGTGACTTGAATGACATCAGCACCAAGTCGCAGCACTGGCCAAGTGATGCTCTCGAAACGTGTCACCAAGTCTTCAAGGATGGCATAGGTCTCCATGGGCACTTGCTGCGGGGCATGGCGTTGGATCAAACACGTGGCCAAGCGTAGGCACTCCTGGTGATGAGCGAGAAATTATGTAGAGGAGGAACAGGATGGAGTTTTGATGTGCTCTTCTTTTCTATGGTTGATAGCTGATAGACATAGACAGCCAACGCGACACTGGGGAAAAGCCATCACTCTGATATATAAACGGTGGATTGACATGGGTTGACATGGGTTGGGTACTGGGTTGGGTATCTTCAGTGATGATTGGGTATCTCAGACTATCACATTCACATCACCAAGGGTTTAAAGGTATCCAGGATCTGTTTGAACCGGGATTCAACTCCGCAGGGTGAGAACATCCTGAAGATCTGAAGCTGATGGGCAATAACAACAAGGAAGAAGGTATTTCACGAACACTGACGACAGTTTTGAGACTCATGACAAAGCCCAACCCTTACAATATGCCCTCTCTCCCACTCACAAGTGTGTTTCTCGTTTGATCCAGTCCATCATGTTGGAGACCGACCGCGTGGGACAGTACATCAAGCCGTCCGTACCATTCATGCTCTCGTGCAAAACACTGTAGAAGCCTTGCACTTTGTCGTAGAGCATTTCCTGGGCCAAGAGGGGGTTCTCACGAGCTCCGAGCTCGGAGCGATGGTTTGGCGAGCTCAGCGGCTGCTGGGGAACCAATGGATCACCCGGCCACTTGGATATTCTATTGGCATGGTGCCATGCTATTTGCTGACCGGCCACCGGCCACTTAGTCTTCTGCTGCACCTCGTTTTTAGGCATGTGCCACGAGCACCTAATTCATTGAGCTGTTCTTTCGGTCTCACCGGTGCCCAGGAACGTCTGGGTCGATGAGGTTCATGGGTTCCGTCTGGAACGTCTCGGTTCCGAAACAAAGAGCGGTTCGTCACCGCAGAAACTGCGGCGAGACAGTCACCCGCTTTCTTCGCACAGTGGATGGTAAGGTCAGCCAACATGAAATTCCCATGCGCTTGTTGTGGAATACATGTCAGCAAAACAAAGCAAGTGTCTTAGAGGAACAGAGCTTTAATCACTTTGATCAAGTCCTAAAACCGACATTGCGTGGCTACCTTCTACAAAGAGAGTTCTCATATGTTCTCATCAAACCCATTCAATGTACCTCTCCAAAGTGGAGAGTGAGGATAGGTGGCTCAACCACCGACTCAATCAGTGAAATGGACATACATGGTGTTGCAGGATGCAACATGCCGGGGTCATGAGCATAGTCTTCCTATTGCCCTGCTACTTCCAACCAGCCAACCCGGCACAGCATTGACGATCCGACCATCTTCGGCCAAGGAATCTAGATCGGAGCTGATGTTGCCGAAGGTGTAGGTCTTGTATCTAGGACGGTGGTTGGTGATCCTGGGCGCCCACCAGAACGGTCGGTTTGGAGGAATGAAAGCGCGAAGACTTCCCTCCCACAAAGGGGAGCACAAGGTTTTCAGATCTGGCAAAATTGAACATGACTAGTTCTCTGATCACCGGCACTTGTTGAGAATCATGACCGCGTTCGCAGGTCACGAGCAATTCCAAAGACCATCGAGTCCGAGCAAGTCAATTACGGCCCACGGTTGCCTAGAAGTTTTTCTGAGATTACCAACAAACAAATTGTTGATCTGTGGTGCCTGGCACTCAACTCTGAACTCTCAAATCTTTGTTGGAAGTAGATTCTACGACTCTAAGCAACCATGAATATGCATATGATTATTTAAAATAACTACGTAATTTGTACTTGTTTATTGTTTACGGCAGCTGGTTTGGGTCAGTTTAGCTGCTTCATTTCATGGTGTTTAGGCCTGGCAACGCCTGTGCATGGGTTTGTTTGACACAAGGACAATGGGAGATGAGGCATAGTCGGAGAAACACGGATAAACACAAAAATGGGAAGGGAACAGTTCTATATAAAGGATGGGGACCCCTTTCATGTTGGTTAACACGTGGCAAAAAGATCGCTGTGATGCAACCCATCTCAGGCAAGTCAGTCTCTCGCAAGTCCTAGGCAAGGATTAGGCAACGCTCCAGTGCTTGCCTTTCTCTCCAATCTAGCAACAACTTACCAGATCACCTCAATTTCACTGTTTTGGTTCTGAAAATTTTAAAACCAACAGAAGAAATCACTGATACAAAACTGTCTTGGAGTATTGGTGCAAGTAGCCCTCACAGCAACCACCCACGACCATCCTTTCTTGAATCTCATGTTGTTTATTACCAACAATTGTCCTGTGCCGGTGAGTGAATCATAGTTTATAATTGTTAAAAACGGTCTCCAGTGCACCTGGCCACTTTCGCATGCGGCAAAGAAAGATCAGCCATGCATCTGCCCCGAGTAGTTGCTCATGTTGATGAGAACCTGGAGGTCGGAAATCAATCTGTCTAAGAGGCTGTGTAGGATGAGAGTGTCCCTCGGAATTTTTCAGGACAAAGCATGGACCCTTTGAAATTTATCACAGATGGGTGAAGTTGATTCTTCTTGAATATGCGCACTCAGTCGTGGACGTAGGTTATTGAATCAATGAAACAACATCATCGCTCTCTCACCACAACCTTTTTGTGTCTATCGCGCTCTCTTTCTCTCTCTCTCTCTCTGTCTCTGTAGGTGCGCATATATCTATTACATATATATATATATATGTATATATATATAGAGAGAGAGAGAGCCGTCTGGACACACTCTTTGAGCCCCGGGGGGCTAATGGGGTGGCCGACGTTAGAGGATTTTGGCCTGATTTTGTTAAAGCTTGCCAGGCAGGTGATAAAATGGCAGAAGCCAACGTACAACACCCTAGACCCTAGAAGTTCCCCCATTCAGGGTACAAATTTGTCAGGGCTTTGCCGCCATGAAGCCAGCCCCCATGTTACCTGTGTTGTTCTCCTGCGCCTGCCACGATAAGTCCCTTTTGGACCACCAAAACACGAGGTTTCCCTTGCGCCTGGACAAGTAACCATCAAGTCTGAAAATGTGCACCCCACCACAACGAGAGCGCAGTCAAGGAAAGCACATGCTCCGCCCCAGCAGATTCTGCGAGTCAGTGCAGTCGAAATGCACTTTGGAAGATCTTGAGAGGCATTAATGTAGTGTGAAATTAGCCAATTGCCGTTAAGCACCACCGATCAACACCCCGCCTTAACTCCTGAGCTGCCGAATGAACCCCTAGTGTGACGACACCGTTTGGGTAAACATCTACCTGCTGCATGTGCAGCATCATCTGTGCTTGATCTATAAACTGCAAATCTCTGACTCCAGAAAGGTAGAACTTGTGAGGAGGGATAGCCTGTATGCATGTACAAGTACACATTGTATTTGTATGCATGCATGATTACGTAAGTACAAAGTATATAGGAACAACCATTGAGTGTCCTTTTCGTTCTTTTTCAAGATCCCTAAAAAGACCCTCCCGAACCTCCGCGTCATCCAAGTAGCAATGGGCAACGCGATGGCCAGCTCCGCCACAGGACCCGTCACTGCCGTGAGCGGCTCATCCTCATCGTCTTCGTCCATGAGATCCTCGAGCAGCTCACGGCGCACCAGGCCTGCACTGAGGAAAAGAAGCGCTCCCGGTGGTGGTGCGAGGGACGAGTGGGGCTTTTGCATTGCTGGTGAATTGAAGTGACCCTCAGAAATCATACCAGACATCCAGAGCCAGCTAGAATCAAGCAGCTTGTAATAAGTACGAGTAGTGACTCTAGCAGTCTGTGAGCAGTGTAAGTACTAGTTCCAAGTCAACGCCATGGACCCTTTCATCTCAACATCTCAAAGCAGAATTCTATAGAATTCTGCACTCCCTGTTCGACGAACAGAAAGACAAACGGAGAATCCAAGACTTGGGCCGGTCCAGCAGTGATCTCCGGACCCGGACCCGGGCGGCACCACGCAGCCCGACCGCCCCGCCCCACGCAATGTCGTCTTCGACGCGACGCGCCTGTGGCGGCGAAGTCGTCTTCGAGCTCGGTGCAGAAATCGAAGAGATGGCACTTCATGCTGCCCGGGTAGAAGTTGGCCGCCTTGAAAAAACGGATCGACAAGAAAGGCCAGGACCTCGGCATCGTCACCGGCAGGGTTCAGCTGGAAAAACTGGCTACCACGGTTCAGGATTTGTTGGATTCTTTGTAACAAGGGATGAAGGTCATTGAACCTTTTCATAGAAAACCACACTCTCTGTGTGAGGGCTCTAATGTAGGGTCCAACAAGCGTCAATCTCTCTCTCTCTCTCTTGGTTGGTCTATGTCGGAGGAACTGAAAGCGGGGTTGCGGGTGGCATCTTTTCTTCATCAAACGCATTGTGAATAACTTGCATATTGATTCTACTTGGACTCCGAACTCTTCCACAACCTCCGGAACCCGAAAAATTGAAAAAAGCCTTGTCTGCTCCACAGCGCACTCGAGGAAGTCAACATCTTTAGATACTGGGGCGAGGAAGTCAATCAATGATATCTCTGGGAGTCTTACATGGATCTTTGGTTTGATGTCCAGGTCCAGACCTGATCACCGCCCTTGCCTCGCCTGGCAAGTCTTGTTGGGACAATTGGGCGCCACCTAGACACCATGGGCTCGGACCGTTTCTCAACGCGGCCCCTTTTGAAGGCATAAACACACTTCTCTCCCAGGGAGGCCCTGTTTAACCTAATTTTACCATTTGATACCAGCTGTACAGCTGACTCCCTGTAACTGCGATTCTCTCAATATTGAACGATTTATAGTGTATATAATTAGTTACAGTTACAATCGTATGTATACTATATTACTTAATACATTGTATACATTGTATACATTGTATACATATACAATGTTACACAGATTAGATGGCTGTTTGATGCTGTTTAATCATTAAACCCAGCCCCTCCACCTCATTCTTAATGCACTTCTGCTCGCATTCCTCAAGCGAGATCCCAGTCCAACCGTCGCAAAACAAATCCGATTTCTTGGTGTAGGGGACGCCGGAGCATTTCCTCAGACCAGCAAGGCGCACACAGCTCTTCACAAATAACTAGGACCCCAAGAACCACTGGCAATTCGGAGAAGATCATCAAACACACCAGGTGTCTCTTCACTAAGCAAAGCAAGCCCTGTAAAAAGCCTTCCCGTTTCCATATGAAGGGCCACCCAAACCGGTCGGGAACGACGCGAACAACATGGTGATCGAACGACAGGAGAGCAGCCGGCCGCAGCCACACTTTAAACAAAGCTGGAAAACTCACAAAAGCATTGACATGGTTGTCACAAGAATCGAGAACGAACGCTTTTCATGAACTTGGCCATCATCGATTTTGGGACGGGTGCTCACATAGTTTCGATGGGAAACTCTAGAGGACAACTTCTACTTGGTTAGGGAAAATGAACTTTTGGATCTATTTTTACTAGAACAACTTAATTTGCACGGAACAAGCAAACAAAATGGACTGCTTGGCTGCCCAGGCTTCTCTTTTGGCAATCTCTGGAATGAGGCTGCTTTTGTAGGGGGAGCGATGTCCAGGTGTTCTGAATGCACTTTGGCGGCTCTTGCAACCAAGGCCACAAGAAGACCCGCAAAGGCAGGTCTCAGCATTGTCTTCATTGTAGTCAGAAGCACAGCCAACGAGCCCAAAATGGCTTCGGTAGTGGACAAGAGATGGCTTGTGGCTCGTCATTCTTGGTAGAAACACCTAGTATGTTCACAGGTTTCTCCAAGAGAATTGATCACAGCTCAAGGGGATCAACACCTGACCGCAAAATCAACCACTTCCGTGGGAAACCACCAAATCGATTCACTTGGGGTTTGCAACGATCTAGCGCTGCAACATCTGGGTCTCGGCACCACGTCAAGGATCCATGTGCGCTTTCTTCAAGTTGAGGAGGACAGTTTCCCACCTCCATCTTTTGGTCTTTTCGGCCATGGAGCTTGCCAGTGCTTTTGGAGATGACCACCTCCCATCCCGGTGGAAGAGCTCCATCAGGGCTTTCGAAGGTCGATTCCCCCGTGGACAGGTTCACCTGAGTCCGAGCGGTCCGTGCGTCGTGTCGGGGGAAAAGGGGTTGGAGGATCCCCAACCAGAGCTGTCTGGAGTGGAAATTTGCGGGGAGACCGACCAGGCAGTTGACTCTCCTTGGTGTAAATCAACTCCTTGGTGTTTGAGTCCTGACTGTTGACACCCAGGCGAACTGGTTTGGGGGACGAGGATCGGGCACGTGGATGGAGAGCGGTTTGAGCATGATTTTGGGAGGTTCCACGTTTTCACCACGTCAGCCTAGTCGCAAATAGAAACTGGGGGGTTGCTGGATCAACTCTAAGCTGATGAAGCTCTTGAGTCTTGTTCTGGATGTTCTGAGGTGTGTTTTCATGTATTGTCATGTCAATACCCCAGCAAACACTGTACTTAGATGGATGTAGGCCAAGCAATTGGGATCATCCACTTTGACACTCTGATGTTTGGTGGGACCCCTCTCCCAACCCTGAAGGACCTACACTGTCGTCCATATAAGAATTCCGCAGGTTATCAACCGAAACGTTTGCCATCATGGCAAACATAGGGGTTGGTTGGAGAGTTAGTCGAAGGAAGTCGTTCCCAATCACACAAGCTCCGGCAGGTCAAAATGGAAAAACACCAGACATTTAAGCTCTATTAAAGGTTGTTAACGGCACTGCCACACTCCACAATTCAACAGGTCACCTGGATTACCTGTCTGGCTTGCTGATCCACCAAGTCCTTTGGCAAACACCCATTTTCTTAGGAAAACTCCTGGCGAATGCTCAGGAGTTGTGCATCCAAGTGACGTAGTAGTACAATTTCCCGCCTGGGCGAGTTGTACTCGCTGTTCTTCAATGGGTCTTAGGAACCCTGTACGACTCTGCAAGGTCTAGGGAACATCCAACGTGTTTGCGCACCTGTCTGACAGGTTGAACAGTCAAGTGCGAACGTGACTGCTAGTGGAGAACCTGCAAGCACTCATGTACGAGTTAAGGACATCACAAGGCTCAGAGTTCAGCTGACCTGACAAGACACCTCCTGACAAAGCTCATGATTGCAGAGGGCAAATTCCAACAGCTTGAGGTGATCACTGACGCACCTTTTTTACGCATGATTTCCTCAGTCCCTGTCTCCAAATCACCAGCCGGAATCTAGAACTGTTTGGAACTGATCGGAGTAATATGAGTCTGTAGGAGACACCCTTTGAGCGTTATACCACTTCTTCCATGAAACTGAAGCTTGAATCTGATGAATGGCTTTTCCAATCTTTTCCAGGCTCCCTGACAAGGCTGGAACCCATTGATCAAAAAGACATGAAAGCCAATTTGTTGGCAATGGAATGAGGGTGGGGGAAATCCAACCTTCCAACCCATTCACATCCAGAAAACACCCCTCCATCGAAACAGCTCATCTTCCTGCCTGAGCTCTTGGATGGCACGCGTATCCAGGGCTCGGGCAAGCGCGGCAGGCCAAACTGCTCCTGTCCTCAGGAGCGATTTCGGAAAGGTGTTCCTGGTGGAAGCATTGGCCTTGAACGAATAGACGTGCCTTTAGAAAGCCAAACAAAAGCAACATACACCCGAAAACACCTGAATTGGGGTGGTGTTCAATGAATATGAATGTAATGTGATGCGGCAGTTCTCATCAATATTGGGTGAAGCACGTGGCCAAGAAAGCATGAGGACACCAAACTAAACAGTTGTCGGGCAAACTTGTAGAAGAACAATGAAGAACAGCTTTAGATCCACTCGCACTGGCGAAATCACTAGCGAGACTTGCAGCAACAGCCACTTCATCCATGTGATTGAAAGACATCTTCTCCAAAGAAACCCAATCCTGCTGCTATCTTCTGCGTTCGTCAACCATGAAAACGCCGCATCTCTAGGTCGGCCGTTGGCCGTAGATCCAAGTGTTGCCTAGGCTCTCTTTGCCCAGTAGAGCAAGTTCTCTTCAGTTCCAGATCTGCTTGGCCTCGGAAGACCGACGGAAGACCAGCAGCACACCAATGCAGTTTGCACGGATGCTGATCATTGATACGAACAAGCTTAGAACATGACCAGCATATATAGAGAGCCACCAATGACACCAATGTTGCCATGATTCTGGTACAATGTCTTCTGTATTGTGAACCTGTCTAGCGATTATAGTGACACATAGTGACACATTTCAGTCGTGCAACCTCGTGTATATAGAAACAACATGACACAACAACGAGTTAGGACTTGGTTTATCACTCCTTCCATTGAAAGGGGTGGCATCAGTAAGTCAAACATTGGCGGCTGAAAGGAACTACTATCGATAATCACAATCTTGGAAGAAACCACCCAACTTGGCAACCTTAACTTCTGAATGAATATCATCAATTATTGGTTAAGCTATTCCCCATATCCCGCAACAAACTGCCCTAGACTCTGCTTCCTCCACATCCCTGCTCATTGGTACATGCCCAAGGCAATCTGTGTGCCACGGCCCCTCCCTTTTGAGACCGGATCGGCTGCCCCAGGGTTGAGCTCCGGAGCCGCCGAGCTGCTGAGCTCCGGTGCGAGACGAGCTGAGTGACGGCTTCTCTTCGAGCTCTTCCTTCACCTCAGACTTCGCCTCAACGGGCGGTGTAGGTTGGAGGCCATGGCTAGTAGGGTGGAGGCCATCGCTCTTAGGCTGGAGGCATCGCTCCTAGGTTGGAGTCCATTGCTAGTAGGGTGGAGGCCATCGCTAGTAGGTTGGAGGCCATTGCTAGTAGGGTTCCAATAGCATCTGCGGACGAAGCGGCTGACTCATAGAGCAGTGCAGGATGCAGCTAAAGACAGGTCGCCCACCGATCATGCATCGCTTCAATTTCTGAAATAGAAGAGACAAAGACCCTCAAAGATCCAATTGTCTCCCGTTCAGGATTCCTTATCGAACCCGTTCAAAACCAATAATTTGCGCATGAGGATAAACAAATATATACAATATAAATCCTATAAACGCACTTACTGTAGTCATTCGTGCATGAGGACATGAAAAGATCATCAAATATCAATCTATAGGAATTCTGATGCAACCATTACGGCTGCTAGCAAACCTTCCGCTTCCGACCACTCCTCATCCTGCGAATCGGAAACAGTGCGTGAGCTTGGATCCCTCCATCACCTCCGTTCCTTCCGAAGGACCTGCACCTGGGCCGCGTGAGCTTTCCGAAAGCGCTTCACCCGCACAGTGGGCGCAGCGCTCGGCACCGACGTCGGCCGCTTCGGCGGCGGCGGCAGCTCCCGCGCGGTGCGCCAGGGCGGCAGCGGGGTAGGGCTGGAGGTGCTACCGTCGTCGCCTCTGGTCAGGCAGCGGGGGATGACAAGACCTGTGGAGATGATGACGTTGTTCAGGATTAATGATCCGTGAATATGACGAATCTTAGCATACTATGATCTTGGAGTTTCCACATGAAACTCACCGGTCGGAAGAAAGGCTGCTCAAAGTATATGGCTGCATATTCAAAAGTGTGGTGGTTTTGAACTGAGTAAGGATTAGGTGGCGCCAGCTTCAGGTGGTGTTGGGTGTTTTTCAGTGGCCAGCTTCACGGGAGCCTCCATTTACTGCAATAATACCTTCGCCACAAACCCATCTTCAAACGGCCAAACTGACTGAAGCGTAGGGCAGCTTTCCAGTCCTCACAGAAGGTGCATCCAGCTATTCTTTTGAGATCTTTTGAGGCTTGCCAGGGGATATACACTGTATATATATAATATTTAATATTGATTAATTATAGGTCAATCACCAGTCATTCCATTCCAGGAATGCCAGGGATTGTGTGGCCATCGATCATTAAATCTAAGGTCTTCTTGCTCTTGCTTGCAAAAATGTGTCATTATACAATCATCCTCCTGGTTTTGCTTTGATGCTCTAGATATATAAGTTCTTATATAGTTAATCTTCCAAAGGGCGTGGCTGGCTGCCAGTCCAATGCTTGACCAGGCTCCCAAGGACCAACACCACAATACAAGGAGTTCCAGAGTTCCACGACAGCTATGGTTCGTGATGCTAGCCTAATGTAGACTCTTTGATTAATAAACTCCCCAGAATGAAGAGGATGTCCAATTCAACTGGGGGTTTTCATTCATCAAGAGTTTATAGACCCCTGCTCATGGTATTGCTTCCTCCGACGGAACCTGTGGAATCCATCGGACCCCTCCGCCTCGCTCCGGCTCGACCGGCTCCATCGTCGGCTCCGGCTCGTCGCTCTCGGCGAAGGCGCTGGTAGGCACCGCCTGGAAGTCCTGAGCAGCACCAGCAGGCAGAACTGGGACGATTCCGTGGATCTCTGTCGAAGTTTGTTTGTTGTGTGTTTGGTGCGAACTGTATGATTTTTCTCTCCAATTATAAAAGGATATTGCATAAAGTTTCGACGGTGCCAGGGTGCGTGTTTCTTTCTTGGTATTACTTACGCAACGGATATCTAGGGTTTCATGGTTGTTGAACAACCACCTGTTGTGTTTGCGATCTGCCTCATACTCTGCCTCATACAGCTATGCATCACTTGGATTCGTTAACAACTCAAGCAACATGTGGCTGTGCCGCGGCTGATGCTTGGGTCCCTCAAGGGTTGCCTCACCAGAATGAAGCCTCGAGCAGACCCATCTCCATGGCGGGCCTGACTCCATCTGACTCCAT